ATGGATCATGAACAAATGTGACTTTCCTAAACCAAGTAGGCCTCACGTGTGTTTACCTACATGTTTGTTTACTTAAGGAGGATTACCTATGGGACCTACATCAGTTTGTCCACGTGTGGCCCATATGGGTTTGCCCATGCCAGAGCCACATGGTGGGACCTAGTGGGGTTTACATAGATTTGCTCATGAGGGAGCTACATGGTAGAGGCAAGTAGTCCTTATTTCTGTATTTACCAACTTTTGAAGCCATATCGCGGCTAACTGGAAATACCCAAATATGATCTTAATGGTAGAACCTCACATTTGTTTAAGTGGTACCCACATGGGTTTGCAAATGTGTGGTTGTTTCATGAGTTTACCCATGAGGAACCTATAGTCAAGCATAAAATTATTCATACCCAAGCACATTTCAAAGATGTCCACAGAGTGAAATGACTTGCCTTAAAGGAACTTTTCCAATACATATGGCCCACATAGACATCACATATGTGATTGATTGTGTTTGCCTATGTATACTCTATGTCTGGGGTCACCAGGGTACTACCATCTCCGTCCAAGATGGGCCGGTGTCCCTTCAGGGTTTAGTTCCAACTTGCTTCAATAAACCGGCCTGGATGTTTCAAGTATACCTAGAAAGACCTTTGCTTGTTCAGATGTGTTTGATTAGGGTTGGAGCTAAAATCTGCAGGACACCGGCCCTCCAGGAACAAGTTTGGTGGCCCCTGCTCTATGTGCTTAACCAGTGTGGAACCCTTGTGTGTTCCCCACACATGGGCAAACTAAGGTGGGCTCAATATGGGCAACACATGCTGTGGCTTCAGAGTTGGTAAACACACATGGGGCTACTTGTTTCTACTAAACAGGGCAAACCCAGGTGGACTTAATATGGGCAACACACAATGGTTCCAAGTGGGGTAAACATGGACAAATACAATTAATCCCACACAGGCTGCCTATATGGGCCTTATGTAGGCCAGAAGTAGGTGATCAGTATATGGTTTCATATACTACATTGGGGCCTACTTATACTGAGGCCATTGATAGGTTTAGAGAACATGAACCTAATTTAAGATCAACAGCAGCCTAAATGGCTCAATTTTGTTATTCGTTGAGTGTTATTGTTCTTAAAATAAATATTGCAAATTTAAAACACAGATACAGTCATACCTGCCAACACTCCGGTTCCCAGGAGTCTCCCGTATTTCAGACCCATCTCCCATTTTGTTCTGTATAAGGCTAAATCCATTGAAGCTAAACGAGGCTGCTGAAGTAATTGCTGATGAGAGACAAGTGTGACAAGGCGCGAAAGCATCGGAGCTTTTATTATGCCACAGTCGACCACTTCCAGTTGAAGTAACATTGGAAAAAAAGTAGCACTTTTTCACCATACCAAATTCCTTCTGAGGTTCTGTTGTTATGCTGCTATGTGCAGTTTAATAAAACACAACATATTAAACTGGTGTTTCCTTATTTTCTATAAAAACATACTAGAAATTGTGGCTCTATGGCAGGGGTCATCAATCTCGTTCCTGGCGGTCCGGTGCCCTGCAGGGTTTAGCTCTAACTTGCCTCAACACACCTGCCTGGGTGTTTTAAGTATACCTAGTAAGACTTCGATTAGCTTGTTCAGGTGTGTTTGATTTGGGTTGGAGCTAAAATCTGCTGCACACCAGACCTCCAGTAACCCCTTCAGGTGACTCCTGCGATGGGTCTCATTTATAAAGCTTTGCACAGAAACTTTACCAAAAGTGGACATACATCAGGATAAATAATTTACAAACTGATGATTGTTGCTGATAAGATTATTTAAGGTGATTCAATTAAGTCAATATTTAAGTTAAATGTGTTAAAAGAGTTTATTCACAGCTGCACACATTCTCCCGACAAGTATTTTTGTATTTTATAGACCACAACTTTTGCATGAGAATTGCCATACACAAGTTCCACATGCTTTGTGTGTAAGCCTCATTTATAAATGAGATCGTATAGTTAAAATAGCTTTTTTTATCTGCATTTCACCGTTCTTCAAAAATGTCTACATAAGTCTGCAAAAATATATAACACTGCAGTGGTTTTTGCATGTTTAAATTAAGAAATCTTAGATACTTTGCCTTTACAAGAAGCTCCTACATTTAAACTGTTTGTCCAGAGCTCCGTGACCTCAATCAGAGGACTCCAAAATAAACTGGTGCAGTCCAAAATAAAATGTACACATCTTGGTTAAAATGTTCTGTTTTTCTTTTATCCTTGTCCATCAGTGCACTTTACAAGTTTGTAATCCTCTCTAAAAAAAACTGTAATCCTACTTGCTTCCCACAGGGTATAATTCCATGTCATTTGTGCTTTTACCCCCCCAGAGCTGCTTTTGCTATCTGAAAACAGACTTTTCTCATCGCAACAATCATATGCAGAGGGGACTTCAAGAACAAAAAGACATGTTAAAAAGTCTTCACCCTTCAAAAACGTATCACAGTGTATGTCTTAAAAACCACAATTACTGTAAATAGAGGTTTAGAAAAGCCAGAGAGAGCAAACTCATAATTTGTTAAATCTTAACGTGACCACCAACACATGGTTTCTGAAATATTTGTACACAATACACACAAAATAAAATCTTGTATGTTGAAAAATAAATCTGCATAAAATCCAGGCATTAAAATCTGTACTTAAAATAAATGGTGGAGAAAAAATAGGTCACCAACTGCACTGCCGGCCCATATGATGAAATGTGGCATTAAAGGAAATATAACAGTTTTTTTTTTCTTTTCAATCCTACAATACATTAAAGAAACTGCATTAAAAACTGTTTATATCTAATGACCATTTGATTTGAATAAAATATTCATTTATTTACAAAAGGTGAATATAAACAGTGGTCACTCCATGTATTTTACATTTAATACTGAACTGCATAAAAAACTGAGAAGGTAAAATAAATTCATGAAACGTTTACAACATGATAGACAAACTGTGTGGTGTTCCTCACAGAAAGACAACTATACACAGTCCTTTTTACAATATTTGTCCTTTAGGAGTTTATCAAACTAACTACACATTTTGGCATGTTCAACATCCACAAGAAATTGTATGAGACCCAAAATGCGTGTATTTGGTAGCCTCACGGAAACTACTGTGTTGTAAAAAATATATATTATAATTATAATAACAAAACATTGTTCCCTTTTATAAACCACATATACTAGGTAAAACAAACATCATATGATGAATAATTAATATAAAAAATCAGGCATGTTTAATGTCTTTCAATAATCTGCAATCAAATTTCTATTTCTGAATAAGGTATCCACAGATGGAAAAATATCCAAAAAGCTTAAAGTAAATGTGAAGCTGTAATTTTCCACCCAGAAGAGGGCAGTGCACGGTGTCATAGTGATTAGCAGGGTGTTAGTCTTGGCTAGTGACACTTTCCCCCATTTTCATTAGGTTCAGCTTGCAATCCTAGCTGAACTCTGCACGCAGTAGGAAGTATACAGTAAGTAGCTTGCAGCGATGGCCTGCTGGGTTGGTGTGCTTGTGTAAATCCTTCCTGAAATTATCCTTGTCTGTTGAAACTTGTCAATGAATTAGCCTGGGAAACTGTCTGCTTTCCATTGAACACTGAGATTTTCACATGCATTTCAACTTATCAGTATCGGTTGGCCATGTTTTTCTGTTCCAGTTTAAGTTTGAGCTCAGAAACTAGCGCTGTATTAACAGGATTGTCTTTACACCGGTGGGATTTCTTCTTTGACTTGGACGCTACAGATGCAGAAACTGTAGGTACTGTCCATTCTCGTTCACCATGTCTACAGTGACTTGGCAATGGTGGAGGCATGACTGGGGCATTCGGAGGTGATGGAGGTGTTCGATGAGAACACACTTTGATGTTATTGTTAAAGTTGACATTGTCTGCTCTAGGGATCTCCTGCTCTTCTCTGAATGGTTCTTGGAAGTCGTCTTGTTTCTGGGGTTTACGCTTCTTTCGTATGATGCGACGGGAAGGTAGAATCCTGTTGGCCTTGTTTCTTCTCACAAATATTACAGTAGAGATAATGACTGTCACAAAGACTAAGATTAGAATAACACCACTTATCAAGCCTAGGAAATGCATGGGATTTTCCCTACTATTCATAAAAAAGGACGTCAAAGGTCCCTTGAGTGGAGTCTGTAAAAGAGCACAAAGAGAAGTCAAGTCCATAGGACTCATGAATGATATACTGTAGGCTTCTCACTGTTTGCTTAGAGAGACATGATAAAAGCGAGGCAGATATTCAATTCTAAGAAGCCAATAGCAGTCTAAATACCTTTAGTAGTAGTGATAGGCAAAATTAAGCTTTTCAAAAATTGGAATTAAATGTAGGCAGGTTAAACTGGTGCCGTGACCCGGATGGAAGTGAGGTTTGGGGGATGTTTGAAACAAAGGCTGGCTAATAGGAGATGTGCAAGTAAACATTCCTGGCATCAAGAGGCAGATTAGTGACTGATTAGTACACCCACACGGAATCTGTGTGCGCAAAAATCTGCAGATTTTCACAGATTTAACCCATTATTGAGCCTATTTTATTTTCACTTTTTCAGTTTTTAAATTAATTTCAGTAATATTATTGACTAAAATGAAAATGTTCATATGATTTATTTACAATACAGTTTGTAAAGTCACATTTTCTGTCTTTTAGTAAATACAGTTGAAGTCAGAAATATTAGCCCCTCTTTGAATTTATTTTTGTTTTTTAAATATTTCCCAAATTATGTTTAACAGAACAAAAAAAAAATGTCCACAGTATGTCTGATAATATTTTCTCTTCTTACTCTCTTGTAATAAATCAGTGAAGCTAATAATTCTGACTTCAACTGTAAATTATATAAGAGACTTGCTTTCTTTACCAAATAAGTGGATCTAATTGGATTTGTATTGTAAATATTAAATACAAGTTAAAAATGTATTATTTTTTATTTCACATATTAAGTTTTTAGTTATAATACTCCCAAAATTATTCCGCATAAATTTTCAGATTTTTTGCAAAATTCTCTGCAGAAATAGCAAAAAATGTCAGCAGATTCTGTCTGGCCCTGCTGATTAGTCATTGTCTTTAGATTTCTTGTAAGACCGCCTGCCTCCCATGTTGGAAACACCAGTTCAAATCTCACTTGGAGTGGGGAGAGTAGAACTAGAGAGGTTATAGTAGTGTTGTGACCAAAATGTGAGTGAGGTTTAGTGGGATGAGTGTAACTGAGGCCACCTAATAAGAGTTTGTGCGAGTAAACCTCATCCCCTTGGCCTCATAAGGCACACAAGTGACTGACACTCTCTTTAGTGTCCTTGTATGTAATCCTTCCTCCCATGTTGGTTCAAATCCCATTTAGAGTGGGGTGAGTATAACTGGAGGAGTTACAATGGTGACATTACAGGCATAAGACTGAGGTTTAGTGGGATGAGTGTACCTGAGGGCAGCTAGTAAAAGCTGTGTGAGTAAACCTCACTCCGCTAGCCTCACAAAGCACATTAGTCAACAACATGGATGGACATATCTGCCATTTGGTTAAACATTGCGTGAGTTAAACATTGCATCTACCATGCTGAAAATGTTTAAATCCCACTCTCAGTGGGGTGTGTTGAAAGGGAGGGGTTACATTTGTGCTGTGACTGTTTGAGGAAATGTAACAGAAGCTAGTAAGAGCTATGTTAATCCCTGTTGAGAGCGACGACACAGTGAGAGTTAGTGTTCCTGCCTCCCATGTGAGAAACATTCATTTAAATCCTATTTACAGAGCAAATGTACCAGTAGGGTTATACTTGGTTAATCAAGTTAAAAAGTGAATATTAACTAATATTATTATTGCAGACATGTTTTCTTCTCATTATAGAAACTCTAATTACAGATATGTGTTCTAAACCTGTCTACAAAATTATATAATTGGTCTGAGAGCAGATCCTAGTTCATTGATTCACAGAAATAATTGCCCCCTTGTGGCAAAGCAAAAACATTTTGAAATGTTCTGAAATGTTTCAGTGCTTGATCTGAATCACTAGCAGAAACTATTATTTGCTTTTAAGTTAGGTTAAAAGCTTAGCAGTGCTTTACAAGTGCCCATCACTACTACATAGATCAGAAATGTCTAATAGAGCCGCTCAAGATAATAAATACAGTGTGACTGCATGGCATCTCAACAGCAGAGAATTGATTGATTACAATTGATTTGATGTTCAATTTAAAGATAATTTACAAAAGAGTCTGGTTGCACAGTAAGACAAGATCAGAAGGGTTGAATGGGGCACCCAGAATTGAGACCATGCAGCCTCATTGTCAATCTCTACTATTAAGGAGATAGCTGACCTAAAAATTAAAATGTACTATTTACTCACCTTCCATGTGTCCCAAACCCTTATGAGTTTCTTTGTTTAACTGAACACAAAAAAAAGATATTTTGAAGAATGTCAGAAACTGGTAATGACTGACTTTCATAGTATAAGAAACATAAATACTATGGGCGTCAATGGTTACCAGCTTCCAAAAATGTTCCAAAATAACTAGTTTTGTGTCCTGCAGAAAACTCAGATAGGTTTGTGACAAATGAAAGGCGAGTAAATGATAATAGGATTTAAATTTTTGGGTGAGCTACTCTTTTAACAACTATAATTTTGACTGAATGGAGAAATGGGTGATAATTCTGAGCCAAATAAGTGCAGATTAAAATCTTTCTGGAAAAAAAAAATGTATTATAAGTGTGCTTGTGTACTCTTTTACAGACTTTTTACTTTCGTTTAAACAATAAAATGATGGTAGGATCGAAAAAAAGGAGAAAAAAGAGAAAAACTAAGTATTTGTGTCAGAGTCAAAATTTCTCATGGTCAGGGCCTCCTAATAATCTTTCTGATCTTGCCCTTTGGCTGGACCCGGGACTTTTTCACAGATTTCCAGAAAATGAATGTGGATATGAAAACAGTCAGACAGATGGCGAAGACTACAATGCTCAAACAAATGCCGAAAACAGTCCAGGGCCGAGTTCTCAGACTTAAGAAGTATGAAAGCATTCTGGATTTGATCTGTAAAGCACACAATAACACAAACTCATACTATTTTGAATAAATAAAAAAATAAAAAACTTTAGTAACACTGTATTTACTAGCATGCATTGAAGAGCTATAGGATTGATGTAGGATCCTAATAAAAAAGCACTATTAAACACTAATATACACTTACCGCTTCTGTGATGTCAATCTTTACCACTGTGGTTGTGCTAAAGGATGGTGAACCTCTGTCTTTAGCCTGAACAACAACAGACCAGGTACAGTCTCTCTGATTGGTGATATTCTGGACAATGTCCATTGACTTGATGTACGGCTTCAGCTTTATTTCTCCCGTGTCTGCATTAATGTCAAATATGTTGTCTGGATCGGCTTTCATTATGGAGTATTCAATGAGATTGTTGGGCTCCTCTGCATCTTCATCAATCGCCTACAAATCATCAATCTCAGTCAACTTATACTTTCACCAGTCAGATAAACCAAAATTTCAAAAAGTAAAAAAACAACATACCTCTATTTTGACAGGTGCACCAATCACCATGGTCTGCTCCAAAGAGTTTTCATTAAACGCTGGTGGATGGTCATTGAGGTCAGTAATGGTGACAAAGACTTCCGCGAGGCTGTATTTTCCTTCAGGGTCTTCGGCTTTCACGTAGAAGTTATACTTGGATTTGACCTCAGCATCCAGACTGGCCCAAGGCTGAGTGTAGATGATTCCAGAATCAGCCTGAATGAGAAAGCTGCGGAAAAGATATAGGACAGGAAATTAGTTTTATAGGGAAAATCGGGATTAGAAAGCGGTAGTTGTACAGGGACATGTTAACATGATTTAAAGCTTTGAGAACACAGTGGAAAGGAATCAACATAACAAAACATCATGCCTATATAGTTTACTGAATTCACTCCATTGTAAGTTAATATTGGCATCATGTCTGCATGTATATACAGTGCATCTGGAAAGAATTCATAGCGCTTCACTTTTCCACATTTTTTTTTTTTTACAGCCTTATTCCCAAAATGAATTAAATTCATTTATGTCCTCAAAATTCAACACACAATATTAATTAATAATTAATTAATTAAAATTAATAGTTGCAAAATTAAAAAAAAAAAAAAAAACTGAAAAATCACATGTACATGAGTATTCACAGCCTTTGATCAATACTTTGTTGATGCACCTTTGGCAGCAATTACAGCCTCAAGTCTTTTTAAATTTGATGCCATAAGCTTGGCACACCTGTCTTTGGGAATTTTTGCCCATTCCTCTTTGCAGTACCTCTCAAGCTCTATCAGGTTGGATGGGAAATGACAGTGTACAGCCATTTTAGATCTCTCCAGAGATGTTAAATAGAATTTAGGTCTGGGCTCTGGCTTGGCCACTCAAGGACATTCACCGAGCTGTTGTGCTTTGGGCCATTGTCCTGCTGGAAGATGAACTTGCGACCCAGTCTGAGGTCAAGAGCACTCTGAAGCAAGTTTTCATTCAGGATGTCTCTGTACATTGCTGCATCCATCTTTCCCTCTATCCTGACTAGTCTTCCAGTTGCTGCTGCTGAAAAACATCCCCAGAGCATGATGCTGCCACCACCATGCTTCACTGTAGGAATGGTATTAGCCTGGTGATGAGCGGTGCCTGGTTTTCTCCAAACATAACATCTGGTATTTATTCCAAAGAGTTCAATTTTACTCTCATCAGAACAGAGAATTCTGTTTATCATGGTCTGAGAGTCCTTCAGATGCCTTTTGGCAAATTCCAGGTGGGGAGTGGGTTCTGTCTGGCCACTCTACCATAAAGGCCTGATTGGTGGATTGCTGCACAGATGGTTGTCCTTCTGTAAGGTTCTCCTCTCTCCACAGAAGAACGCAGGAGCTCAGACAGATTAATAATAAATTTGCAACAATTTCAAAAAACCTTTTTTCACATTGTCATTATGGGGTATTGTATGTCGAATTTTTAGGAAATACATGAATTTAATTCATTTCAGAATAAGGCTGTAACATAAAAAATTTTCTGGATGTACTATAGTTTACTGAATACACTCTTGTTGTAAATCAGTCTCAACATTAGGTCTTTGTATATATACACACTGTAAGTACAATTATTTCACAAGTGGTATTTTTGAGTATTAACTTTGTTATTGTACAACTTTTTCTTGGTCAATCCAAAATGTTACGAAACCCTCAAACCTGAACATTTAAGTAATAAAAGTGAAGTTTTGACCTTTTAAATAGAATATCTACAGCACATGTACAACATTATCAGGCAACTATTAATGTTCAGAAATATTATGCAACTAAATGAAAAAGAAAGATTTTCCCATCTCGCTTGTTTATTTTGACCTGTTAAAATGACAATAAGAAACAAACTCAAATCTTTACAAATAAACATTTCTGAAAAAAACAAAAAACAAACAAACACCTCATTGAATATAATAGTCACAAAAGCCTTCCATTTACTGAGTCAGTCAGTTTACTGATCTGGTCAGAATCAACTTTTTGTGCAGCCGCAACCACAGCCTACCAGACACTGTTCAGAGAGGTGTACTGTTCACTTTGACTGTAAATATCCTGCTTAAGAAAGGCCCAAACATTTTCAATAGAGTTTAGTTTCGGTGAAGAAGGGGGCCATGCCATTAGTTTTTCATCTTTAAGGCCTTTACTGACCAGAGACATAGTGGAATACTTTAATGCATGTGGTGGAGCGATTTAAGTCTTCTTGAATGATGCAAACTTTTGTCTGTACCATTGCTTGAACAAAGTTTCTTCTAAAACTTGGCAGTAGGTTTGCCAAATTCAACCCAAAAAGGTCCAATTAGCACATCTTTTACAACACCTGCCCATACCTATAACTCCACCTAGCTGACATCTGAGTTGAAGTAAAGCTTTCTGTGTTCATTACTGAGCACATCTATCTGGTCAGTCAAAAGTCGCTTTCATCACATCAGTCCTTAAAAATCTGTTTCAGATATTTCTTGGCCCATTCTAGACGTTTCAACATATGTGTCTTGTCCAGAGGTGGTCGGGTTTCAGCCTGTCTTACCATGGCCATTTCTCTGAGAACAGAACACCTTGTACTTCTTGACACTCCAGGTAGTTTGCAGTTGTGGATAGCTTCCCATAGTTGTGGATTCCTGATAGCTTTATGTTTGAATCTTCTCAAATATTTGGTGGTGATTTTGCATCTTTTCTTCTTAACACATTTCTTGTGATCCTGTTGACTATTTGCTACAAAATATTTGATGGTTCTGTGGTCACGCCCCAATATCGTATATATTTCAAGAATTGTAAAGACTTATTGCCATTTTTGTTTAGTTTTTTTTAAAGAAAGTTACATCTCTTTTTTGTCCCATTTTCCTGAGGAGAAGAAACTGGTGAATAATTTTGTGCACCTTGATATAGGGTGTTGATCTTAGGCCACATGCTCCCTCTTTACACAAATCACCTGATATGCATTAAATCCAATAAGCATTTAAGTTTATACAGCTTGAAGTTGGAAATTATGGATAAAATGATAATATGGTCAAAATAATCAGTGTAGTTTACTGAATACACTCTGTTGCTATAATTTAATCTTAACCGTAAATCTATGTTTATATAGTTTACTGAATACTCTCTATTGTTGTAATGTTCAGGGTCATAAAGATGTTTTTATGCTTTTATGAGACATAGCTACATTTATTTGAACAAAAAAATACAGTAAAAACAAGAACATTGTGAAATATTAGAATGCCAAATAACTGTGATGTGTTAGTAAATGTTATTTACTTCTGTGATGACAAAGAGAATTTTCCTTCCTATGCAAAATATCATTTAAGATATTATTTTTTTAAATGTGTGTATATGTGATTTAAGATACGAGAAATGAACATAAAATTAATATATGCATACAATTCTCTTTTAGAAGTGCGATCTATGATTACAAGGGCAAAAGGATTGGTAATGTTTGGCATCACTTAATCTTTATAGCAAACATGCCAATGATCTTGGTTAAATAACAGAACATTTGTCAATTTTCTGTAAATTAATAGGAAATTGTAATTTAAATTACTACAAAGACCATAAATATTGAATTTAAAAAAATGTCAATAAAAGCCATTTTGTTCAGTTTTACGTTTTAACAGTTTTAATGTCAAAAATGGTCAGAACAAACATTCCACAATGCCAGATAAAAATTTTAAATAAGTGTATTCACACAGATATTTATATAAAAAAAGAGCACACATATGTACGTACGTACGTATGTATGTATGTATGTATGTATGTATGTATGTATGTATGTATGTATGTATGTATGTATGTATGTATGTATGTATGTATGTGCTGTCAGGGATGGGCAGTATTTCCGATAAATGTATTTCAAATACACAGTTTAAATACACAATAGTATTTTGTAATTTGTATTTGGTAGGGCTGATAAAATGGATTAATATTTTGTATCAAATTACTTTAGTTTCTTGTTTTTTTTTTGTATCTTTAAAATACTTTCTAAGAAATCTACATCATAAAAATGCACCCTCTGACTGGTGCTTTGGATTTTATTGACTTTTCCATTTAAAGATGAATTAAAATCCTAAGAGAAAGAGTATACTGTACAAATAGTAGATTTGCATGGCATGGTGATGTCAAATGTTTGTTGTTAAAACAAGCAACATAAAGTCCTACAGTGACGATTCCTACAATACTTCATTGGGTGTTTGAAATGCCTGTAGTTGATCAGTAGGCCCACTGTATAGTTAATGAAGAGGAAAGATGTAAGCCTTAAGATGTCACAACATATGAAACGCAAATATTTAACCAAAAACTCCTACTAAACTAAAGAGTTCAATAGCAAAAAATGGATTTCTGAAAAATTCTGTGAACAAAATATCTAAATTGACTCTTTATTTAACACCCTTTTAAAGTATTAAGAGGTTGAATAATTATTGTACAGAAATGACGGCGATTTTACCAGCCACAATCGCTATCAAACATTGTTTACTTCACTGAGTCATTTTAATGGGTAAGGGATTGACTAGATAGGTCTAAATAATGGAGGTTGTGCAAAGAAATGTCATGCTCCTTTGTGAAAGTATTTTTTTTATTTCTAAAATATAAAATACAGTATTTTATTTTTATACGTTTGTGGCTGCTCTATTTTGTAGTTTATGTTGATACACCTAAAATTGAAGTATTATTTTAAAATACATTTAAATTTATTTGTGTATGTATGTATGCATGTATTTACACACACAAGCTCTCTGTTTCTAGCAAGAAATGACACACTTCTCCTTTATGCGGGGCTGTTACATGAGCAGGAGAACAGTCTATTTCCTGCCCAAATCCCATTAGTGGATTAACCAAGATGGAGGGCTAGGTAACTGTGTGCAGTGCTCTACAAATTTAAATAATTCGTTTCCATATACAGAATCATTCTGATGAAATCTGCTGTAATCCACTAGATATAAATACAGACAATGATAAAATGTGAAGAATGAAATCTAAAAGGCTGAATATTATCAGGTAAATAAAACAAGCTGCTATTAACATGCTGTGTGTGGTCTGTCTGGCAGAATCATCCAGAAAAGATCCCTCACTCAATTAGCCTTCTAAATAAGAGAGTGAAAAAAAGACCAAACAGCAAGACAAATGAAGCGCACCGTAAAGATTTAAAAGGCTTTTCTGCCTACAAACTATGACTCACACATTCATATGCAATGCATTTATGCTCTGCAAAATATAACAAACATGTAACTATCAAAGATTTGATGAATTTATGGGTTTCGGAATATTTGAGGGTTGGAGGACAAAACTCTGCTCCAAGACATTCTGAATAGTTCAGATATGCATGCTTTGCCTTTGGAATCTAATAAAGAAAGAAAATCAAACCCTCTTGGGTACAGCTAGTCCGGAGTACAGCTAGCAAGTCTTACAATAACATGAAGCTTTATTGGAAGTTGTTGAAAATTCTTTTTGAATTTCTTGCTGTAGCGTCTGTGATGAATTTGATGTGCTCTTTCATCCCCCCTCTTCTCCCATTCACTAAATAGTCAGGGGTTTTTTAGATAATGATGTTGCATAAGAGACTGTTTTTTTTTTTTATGTGGCTTATTCCAGTCAGCTGGCATTGCATCAGTTGGATCTTTAGCTTTAAAAAGACCACAGACTCTCTGAAAACAAGAGGAAGTGCTTCTTCATAACTTTAAAGATCAAAAGCCAACAAGTCTCCAGGCAGCAGGTTTGTGGAGACAGTAGTGTGTGGACAGTTAGGTCAGATCACACACACATCTTTAAAAGTTGTGAGAAAATCTTTTTGGGATGATATTCTTGCACATAAAATACCTAAAAGCTTTTTATTTCTGCTTATGGGAAATATTTAAAGGCACAGAACCTAAAAGTGAACAATATTTATGTGAGTTTCTTCTAGCTAGAAATCTGATTAAAGATATATCTCTAAATTGCAAAATAAAAATAATAATAAAACTGCAAGATAAATAAATAAATAAATAAATAAAAAAATAAATAAAATCTTGCAAACTAGACTGGGAAAACTTGTTGATATTTAAATAAACCAAGTAATAAAATCTAAGTAAAAAAATGGAATTTTTAATAATTCAGGCTAATAATTCAGGAGGGCTAATAATTCACACTTTAACTGTATATGTATGTTGCTTGCATGATGTGTACTTTACATTTGCCATCTATGCATGATTTATATACAAATAATTATAATAAAAATTGAAATAAAGGTGGAAAAAATAAGCGAAAAAAGAGGGAAAGTAAACGTGAATACTTACATGTCGGCTCCAGAGCCATAGATGGAGTATTTGACTACACCCCATATACCAGAATCGGGATCCATGGCCTGTGGAGAGCAGAAGGGGACAAACGTCATCAGCTGGCATCTGTTCTTATGAATAACTGTCATGCCAATATCTACGTAACAGACCAGATGACGTTTTGAGCCAAAAGTCAGAACGTTAGGGAGATGTGGGATTTGTTTATTATTTGTGTTCCTGGTTGAACCATGTTTTTATGTCCAAGGTCAAAATCAGGCAGGTCATTAACAAAATTGTACTGCAAAAACCGGATAAATGCTGCATGACGAGCACTTAGTTTATCTCAACAGAGTTCAATCTCTATCCGCTGATAAAGGGCAGAGCAGGACAAGTTTACTTTCTGATGGACAGAGTTTAGCATTAGACTCATGCAATGGGGAAATATTTGGAGAATGATAATGAATGACAACATTCAATTTATGTAATTAATTCCTGTAACAGCAAATGTAAATTTCTTATAAATACAGTTAATAAAAAATATTGTGAAAATATTACAATTAAAAATAGCTGTTTTCCATTTGAAAAAACTTAAACAGGTTATTTTTTTTTTGCAAGTTGGTAAAAAAGAATATATCATTAATAACAACAACAACAATAATAATAATAATAATAATAATAAGTAATAATAATTATCCTCATGTTATTTACAGTATTGTTACGATTAAAGTTAATCTATTTTTTTTGTTGCGCATTGTATGTGTTTTTTTCCCCCCTTTGCCTTGCCTTCTTGTGTTGTTTTTTCATATCCCATAAGCTCCCATGGTAATGTGATCCAGGTTCGGATTGACTGCTGGTCACAGAGAGCTACAGTAAATATAAAAACAGAACTTCCGGCATAGTTCGAGGAGCTCATTTTTGGTACAACTGTTGCTGGGAGTGAAGAACTCCTGGATTTCCCTATACCTCTGGCCGACGTACAAATTTTACTATTGTCAAAATATGTCCATGTATGCTTGCAACTTTTTCAGAGATTAAGTTTGTAGGGGTGGCCTGCCTATTTATTTTGATTACTTTTGAACTTGTTTATGTTTAGGGAGGAAGGTAAGCTTCCTGTATTTTTCTTTAAAAACTTACCGGTTATTTAGTTTATTTACTTTGTAGATTCTTTTGTTTATTTTGGCCAGTGGCCACCCTGACGAGATGCTCATTTGAACTGCTTCTTTTACCTACAAAAAAATCCATTCAATTATTTTTAACTGACTGTCTGTGTTTGGTTGTCGACCAAAGGGGATCTTCATTCATTCATTCATTCATTCATTCATTCATTCATTCATTCATTCATTCATTTTCTTTTCGGCTTAATCCCTTTATTAATCTGGGGTCACCACAGCGGAATGAACTGCCAACTTATCCAGCATATGTTTTACGCAGCGGATGTCTTTTCAGCCACAACCCATCACTGGGAAGCAAAGGGGACCTTTTGCATACATTTTTTTGCTTCCCTTGGGAAATCCACCACCACCTCATTTTGTTTATTTTGCCTATGCAGTTGATTTCTCTACACTTGAAGCGTAAATGTATTTATTTTCTTTTGAAAATTATTTAAAATGTATTTTAGGACAAAAACAATGCAGTAAAAGCAAATATTACTATAATTTAAAATAATTTTAATGTATTTGTTTAAAATGTAACATTCTAAAGGATGGCACAGCTAAATTGACAGCTTTATTTATGACAGATGAATCATAAATACAAAAAAAGGAACACATATTAGTACAGAAAACAGAAAGCTGACAGAACCCAAACTGTGGCATTGCATTTTGTACCACATTTTGTTTCTGGATGAATAAAATTAAATCACAATTGTGCTTTCAAAAAAACATTAAAATAAAAATATAATAAAACGTCAAAAGGTATCAGTTTATTTGAATAACCAAAAAACTAACAAACAAACAAACAAAAACATTTTACTTGAGGATTCTGATACAAAAAAGAGATGTGACAGTTTTGCCATCTGACCGTCATAATAATTTGACCTCATCCTGATGATATTTTTGTCTAATAAAGCACAAATCTGAGGTTTTAGTGTTACACAACTGAATGAAAATGATAGCCATCTGGCAGCTTACCACGTAATAGACTGTTTAGCATGATTTTGGATTCTGTTCCAACCCCTCAAATGTTATATTTAGATTAATAATGCGTATAATGCGTCTTTTTCCCGAAACTGAGCATAGTCAAGAGAGGATGACGAACATGTTAATCTTTTTGTGTTTACAATGTCTAGAATGTTCTGTACTCACAGTCACAGACACAACATTGGATCCTCCGGGTGAGTTTTCTGGGATCCGGGCGATGTAGAAATCAGAGGTGAATTTGGGAGCGTTATCATTGGTGTCCAGCAGATGAATGATAATGTCTGCAGTGGCACTGAATCTCTCTGGTGTGTCGATCTCTACAGCCAGCAGCTGCAAACAATGAGCATTTGAACACATTTTAGGTGCTGATTAAATGTCACTGATTGATTTAAACTACTGTACGCAAACGATCCGTAATTCTTGATAATATATTATTGTGTAGGATCTCAATTACATGCATGATCAATAAAAATGTAATTGATCATTTAATTTTAGTTGCCTTTTAATGCAAAAGCAAGTTTTTTTTTTTTGTGAGGAAAGTTAACATTAAAAAATCCCCTTTAATAATATTAATTTGACAAATTTTTTGTTTAATACTTTTATTTTAGCAACATTTAATCCAAAAGACTGGTTCATATGTAAAAAATATCTGGTAAGCTGCTGTATTGTATTGTTAAATTAAAGCATATAGCAGCTATTATTTCCCATACTTTGAACGATTATATATATATTTTTTTGTCCATATATTCAGCAATAAATCCATAATTTATAAGGGTCAAAAATAAGATGTCCAATTTCTACACACAATTAAGATTGCATAAGGAATTTTATATACAAAGAAAATGTCTAATTAATGGTTTAAATAACTTTTGTAAAAATACTTTTCAAAATGTGAGCGAAAAAATCTTCATTCATTGTAACAACAGATATATTTAAGCAAAAAGGAAACAAGACGCTTAATAATATTGTGTTAAATATATATTAAATTAAATCAAACAATAACTGATCTTAAAAAATGTCAACAAACAAAAATACATAATTTAAATATTGAAATGTCGGTCTGGCAAATGCATCCACTTAGAATGTTATCACTCGATTGAATGTGAATCAGTGGTTATCAACTGATAGATATGGGCCAGTAGGGGCCTTCTACGCCTACTGTTAGGCTAAGAAGGCTGTTATTATCCATCCACATGGTTGGTCAGCAATACTAATAGAGAAGACTCTAGATCCAGATCTGTTTTTACATTACTGTGATGGTTGGGTTTAAGCTTGGGTTAGACATTAATAAAATACAATTAATGGGAAATTGAATGGATAATATAAATAATTATCATGGTTAATCTGCTTTACTAATAGAGAAGACTGCAGATCCAGATCTGTTTTTGCATTACAGTGGCAGTCGGGTTTAGGATTGGGGTAGATGTTAATAAAATACAATTAATGGGAAATTTGATAAATATTATAATTAATTCTTGTGGTTATTCAGCATTACTTATAGAGAAGACTCTAGATCTAGATCTTTTTACATTACTGTGACGGTTGGGGTAGGGGTTGACGTTAATAAAATACAATTAATGGGAAATTTAATAAACAATATAAATAATTCTTGGTAACTTCTGGCCACAGCTGTATGTGATCTACAGCTGACTAACCATGTGGATGGATGATAACCGCCTTCTGAGCCTACTAGTAATCGCAGAAGACCTCTACTGGCCTATATCTATCAGCTGATAACCACAGATAATGTCCATTCAATTGAGTGATACTATTCAAATTGGCTGGCAAATGAGTGAAATAGTTTTGATTTGAAGGATAGTGTTAAAATATAATAAATAAAAATACAAACAATAATTTTGGTTATTATTTTATAGCATTTCATGACTGCTATCCCTTCATAAAGTATTTTATTATTATTTAATAATTCTTATTATGTCATTATTTTGTATTACTTTTTCTCAAAACATTCCTGACAAGACCGTTGGTATATAAAACACTGTTACACTGAATGACTTCATAGTGTGTTCTGTAAATCAAGGTTAAATTGTATTATTATTTGTGAATAGTGATAACCATTTTGGTTCAGAAAAAAAGACTAACAGCTGTGAAACAAAAAAAATTCTACCTTAAAAGTCAGGAACTGTGATTTCTCAAAATCCATTGCAGCAGAATCCTCCACTAGGACAGTGACTTGGGCTTCATTCAGAACAGTTTGAGGAACCACTCTTAACATGCGGCCCGGGCCCACTAGTCTGAGGTTGAATTTTGCATTTGATCCCTAAAAACAAATACGTAGCACTTTTGATTACAAAATTTCATAGTAAGCCATTAAAACACAGAGCTGGAATATGTCAAAGTTAATCAAAATGTATGTAAAACATTGTATCAACAACTGTGCTGATCCATGTGATCTTGTTTTTCAGATGAATCTGAATGTGACTAAGTGCTAAATAACTGAAAACATTATTGCATAATATGACAAAAGCTTAAAAGGGACCACCTGCTTGTTTGGGTGCATTTACGTAACATAAATGACAATGTTTTATTATGATTGAAAATCACTCCTAAAAAACATGGAAGTAGCGCATTAAACTAATGGTGTCTTATCTCCTATTTTTAAATAATATCACTTTTTTTGCACTACAAAACTGCCACACACAATCAGCCTGTATTAAATTCTCTTAAAACCAAAAACAGATAACCAGATTTTCTTTGTAATGGCTCTAAATCTGCTAAAACAATTTTTTTGCTATGACAAACCCACTGCAAAAATGAAAGAGAGATGTTTCTGACCTGGTCGGAATCATTGACTGTGATTTTCAAGCCCCTCAGAAATTCTCCCTCTTGAGGATGTTCATACATTGTTAATTCGAACACATTTTGAGGTCCATTCTCTCCATAGAATGTGGGTGGATGGTTGTTTAGATCCACTACCCGAATGGTCACAGTGGTGGTGGCAAAGTCCAAGCGCTTTCCTTCTGGACTGATTTCCAATGCCTGAGAAAGAAAAAAAAATCACGCATTATTATTGTTACAGCTAAATACCAACCAGCAGGCATGTTGTATTAATTCGCACAAAATGCAACAAGGACATACGTATAAAAGAGATGTTGCTAAATACATCTGATACCAGAAAACAAAACAAAAAAATAGGCAAAACTAATGGAATGAAACAAAACAAAACAAAGGAAGCAAAACAAAACTATAAACTAAACTAAAACAAAAGATAAAAACAAAACAACACCGAACAGAAATCAATCTAAAAACAATGCTAAACAAAAAATACACAAAACACACACACACACAAAAAAGTGTACCTTGACTTTAATATTAAAAACTTCCCTCCTCAGGTCTGCTGGGTACAAATTCAGAGTGATGACTCCACTGGTTTTATTAATGGAAAAGGACCCATCTGCTCCTGAATACATTGATGCATTGATTCAGCATTGTGATGTGAAAAGTCATTATTAAATTACTTTCTAGCCATCAATCAACGTGCAAAATAATAACCAATACAACATACCAGAGTCCAATGAATATATGATCGTATTTGGATTATCCATGTCTCCATCTTTGGCAGAAACTGTAAATATCTCAGATCCCTGTAGACAAAATTAGATCTTAAAGGTCTTTTCCGGCTGATTTAAGCCACATGCTGTTTGTATAGAAGAGCCATCTACACTACCTAACAAAAGTCTTGTCGCCTATCCATGTTTTAGCAATAAATAACAACCTGACTTCTAGTTGATCAATTGGTATCAGAAGTGGCTTATATGAAAGGTAAAGGTTTCTAAATTACACTTATTTTACCCAAATAAAATATGATCATGCCTTGATTTTTAATTATTTCATTAGGACAGTAAGGTTTGACTTTGCTAAGACAAATGTCTTGTCACTTGACAGAAATAGTGTACAGAATAGAATATAAAGTCATTTCGAGTGGAAAAAGAATTTATATTGTTTATGACTCCCATGAGCTTGGACGACTGCATCCATACATCTCTGCAATAATTCAAATAACTTATTAATAAAGTCATCTGAAATGGCAAAGAAAGCGTTCTTGCAGAACATTCAGAGTTTATGAAGATTTGTTAGATTCATATTTAATTCCTCTTCCATCTTACTCCAGACAAGCTCAATAATGTTCATATTTGGTGACTGGGTTGGCCAAACATGGAGCACCTTGACCTTCTTTGCTTGCAGGACCTTTGATGTGGAGGCTGAAGTATAAAAAGGGGCACTATTCTGCTGAAGAATTTGCCCCTTCCTGTGGCTTGTAAATTAATGGGCAGCACTCGTGTGTCTTGATACCTCAGGCGGTTGATGTTACCATCCACTCTGTAGATCTCTTGTAGGCCCCATACTGAATGTAACCTCAAACCATGATTTTTCCTTCACCAAACTTGACTGATTTCTGTGGGAATCTTGGGTCCATGCGGGTTCCAATAGGTCTTCTGCAGTATATGTGATGATTGGGATGCAGTTCAACAGATGATTCTTAGGAAAAATCTAACTTTTCTAGAAATCAAGTTATTGTTTGTTGCTCTTACACCTTGGATTGATGACAAGACATTTGTCAGGTGGATAGAACTCCACAAAGGTTTTAGCAGATATGAACAGTAACATGGACAAACTTTACCAAGTAAAATTATATTTTATTATTATTATCATTATTTTTTATATTATTATTATTATTATTATAATTATTACTACATAAAAAAAAATTGTTAGTACAAATATCAAAACTGTTTCAGTACAATTTATTAGTAATTTCTGAAGAATCACAAAACATTGAAGACAGGATAAATGATGTTAAACATTTCTGATTTCTCTTCAGTCAGCAGAAAAACAAATTGCATTTTAAAAGATTTAATAATAGAAAAAGATTTAAACATGCGTATTTTACAATATTTTTAATAAACAAATACAGCTTTGGTCGGTGTACCACAGTGACAGAACAAATTGTAACCAACCATGTTCTTTGAATGGTTGTGTCTATGTATAGTCCCATTTTCCATTCATTATATGCATTAAAAAAAAAAAAAACATTTAGCAGGTAGAAGATTCATTTTTAAATCAACAGAAGCATATACTGGTAAGAAACCATGCAGGAAAATTATTGTGGAGTGTTATGATACTCACTGGCGAAGAGACTTCATAGACATAACCAAAGTAAGGAGTTCCAATAAAAATCGGGGGAGAATCTTGAGTGTCGATCACATTTATGGTCAAAGTAGCAGATGATGACATCACTTGTTGCTTGCCCTTGTAAATGCCTCCTCCATCCTAAAAACAAAATAATTTATTGTGATGCAGGAAGAAAAATAATAGCTGGAAATAGATGAACAAATGCTTGACCTTGTAAAATAACAAGAACTAAATGACTAACTCTCACCTTTGCCACCACAGTGATGAAATGCGTCCGCGATTTTTCATAATCGAGGGATTCTCCAGGTTTTATCCGCAGCACGCCGCTATGATGGTCAATGGCAAACTTTGGGCTTTGCTCACTGCTCTGGATTTAAGAACAAACAGAGACATCCTTTGAGTTACAATAGCAGGGTTTGCTTTTAAAACAGAAATCTTTGACACTGGATCATTTCAATCCTCAAGAATACAGAATCCTGAGGCAGGCCTTATCCTGCTTTACAATTCACACTGATCATGATTTATACAGGTAAACAATTAACTTTTATTTAATCAGGATAACATCACTGACTACACCTTCCTAAAGCTGAGATTAACGCATTCTCCTTTGCATTTCTGGGGTGTTAGTGCTGTTAACTGAACAATTGCAGAATTCAACCTGTTTACATAAAGGTTTTATTTGTGAATAATAATATTACAGAATGTTATCAGGTTTTTCCTTTATTTTGACTGCGGTAAGAATAAAGCAATATTTTCTGCACTCTATTTGGCTTTATTTCCCCCTTAAAACAGTGAAACTGCTTTTTGAATATACAGTAACGGTAATTCAAAGACTTAAAAAAACATGACAGCACATCATTCAATTGGCTGTTGGTTGCTAAAGATATATTCAAACTCCATATTGTTTCTTCCTGCATGTTAGGTTACACATTTAAGTGTTTCTATTGCAAAACGTCCACAAATCAAATAGCAATGTTTCATAAATTAGCAAAAAAAAAAAAAATGATGATAACCCAGGGTTAGGTGCAGTATGAAAAACTTGTTTTTGTAGGTATGGATTTACAGTAAACAATGTTTAACTGAAGGATAAATAACCCATTCCAAGTAGAAACAGCACAGTGCAATCTTCAATCTGAAAGCATACAGGTTGTGCAAGTTTAAGCTATTTCCTTACTTTCCTATGGCTTATTCCCTTCTTTTTCAGGGCTTGCCACAGCTGAATGATCCGCCAGCTACTACAGCATGTTATATCGACAGATGCACTTTTTACATAACCCAACCCTGAGAGAGCAACCTCGTGCAACCCAACAAAGACAAAGCTAAATGACTGTAAATGAGTGTGGAATCATGCGAGATGTGAAATTCATCACACACAGGCTATGGAAATTATTTTTACTAGATCATATTTATAAATGAAATAATAAATAGACTTGATGTGGTAGTCTGTTGTACTGGTGTCAAATGGCGTAATGCACATATAACAGTACGCGCAACACTATCATTATTTGAATTAATAAAAATGAGCACAGCGAAACAGAATTTTTCATTTTGTTCTCACATTGTATACATCTGGCTCTGCAATATGAAGTTAACACCACAAAAGAGTTCTAACTCTGCTTTGTTCCTGCCCCTGATAAAAAGCAATAAAACTGTGCTAACAATTGTGAAACATTCCTTTATCCAGGGTGGTAAGTGATACTTAGAATGATGATAACTCTGGGTTAGGCAGAGTGTGAAAAGCCCAATTCTTATTGTTTTTACACATTAAGGTAAAGGGAATATAGTGTAATCGCACAGACCTTGTCATTGATTAAAAAAATACAGATATTTAGGTTTATGTAAGGAATAATGTAAATCATCACAATATTGAACATGGTTTTAGTGGTTATGACCAGCTTTTGTGGATATACAGTTCTATCAAGGGCTTTGGAATAATGAACAAATATGTAAAAAGATAGGTCAAAAATAAAAAGGAATATAAATAATAATTAGTTCTCTCAACTGGATGCTACGCTGTAAAAAAAAAATGCTGGGTCTACACAATTCATTCATTTTGTCCCACCAAAAATCAATTAAGTTAACAAATTTAAGCTGATTGAACATAAATAAAGTTTTTGCCCAAAAAATGTCCAGAATTGTGTTGTTTAAGCTTATTTTAAATAAGTAGCTTGAACAAGCAGCAAACATGTTTTTTTTGAGAGTACAGTACCAGGCTTTTGCCCGTATCAGATTGTCTGGTTGTGAATAATTGCTAAAGCTTTTATCAGGATATACAGTACAGTAGCTGTGTAAAAACATTACTTTAACAGGTATAATTACCTGAATTGTTTTTACTGTACATGTTCAGAACAAATACACATTTGCAACAGATGTAACTGCACAAGGATGCTACAACAGGTAGCACTTTACAATAAAGTCTCAGTAAACATTATTAATGGATTGAAATCAGTAGTGAGAAAAAGACAGATTAATTACAGTAACTATATTTTATTAGTAATTTATTTTATTTTATAAAATGACAACTACTTTATTTTGATGTGTGATTAAGCACTCACTGAGAGCATAACAAGCTGAGGTGTAAAAAATTCCAGCTGTTGTTGTCATTACATTGCCCTAAATTAACTGATAATACCAAAGGATCACAATTTTCTGCCATTGAATATGAATAATAAATGAAAACCAATCACCTATTAAGTCTTCATTTGATGCTGTTATGATCACCACTGATAATGCAGAAAATTAATGTTCTTAAAAAGTACTCAAAGTATAAAATAAATAAATAACTATTTACAATATTGTAACACATACAATATTAATATTGTGAATGTTCATTATCACAATATATTGAATTATATTTATATTGAATATCTGCATATGCTTAGATGTTACCTGAAGGAAGTAAGTGACTGATCCTCCTGAGCCGGTGTCCCTGTCCACTGCCTGCACCTTATAGATGCTACTTCCAGACGTTGTGTTCTATGTTCAAACACACACAGAGTCAAATCACTTTAATCAAAAATGTTTACTGGCCAGGTATCTTCCAAAATACATTCTACAGGAGCCTGAATGAATAATATAATGACAGATTCTCTGAGACTAGACTCCTCACCTCTGGCACATCTACGATGGAAGGCATGTTTTGAAACTGTGGTCTCTCATCATTGGCATCCATGATAAAAACTGAAACCTTTTCAACTACCTGACAATACATCAAAGTATTAGAATGATCACATCTCTGGTACTGATATACGAGTCCTTAATCAGTCGTAATACTTACTTTATTAAGGCTATCAGAGATGCTGACAAAGACTTCAATCTCATCTTGTGCCTGTGATAATAAATAAACATAGTGTTATAAACGTTTTCTCAGCATTCAAATTTTAACACTTGAAACTAATTATAAATAAAACTGTGCACTGTACCTCTCTGTCAAGGTCCTCTATTAATGTTACTACTCCAGATTTGGGATGAACACGAAAAAACTCTTTGGATCCGGGTTCAAAGGTAATTCCATACTTTACTGGCTGGCCTTCTGGGTCAGTTCCATTAAGAACATATATCTGTGTTCCTGTAATATACAGATTTAAGAAAATAGTTCTGTACTTTTAGCATTCACACAAGTCAAGATGACATTTTGATGTTTTGCAGTATATTACATTATTTTTAGTCATACTGTTGGCCCCAGACTCCAGCTTTCTAGACTTTTTTTAACTATTAAAATGAATATGTCATTTCATTTTAAACATTTGTCATTTTTTTATTATTATCCTTTAAGAAGAAATTCTGAAGAACAATTGGTCCATTTTGACTTCAATAATTTTTTCCCTAAATGTTGAAAGCCTTCTGGGGTACTTAAGCAAACTCTGAACAGGGGGGCTTAAAAATATTAGCTAAAATTAACTGCAGTGTTAATTGCATTAACTTTAGTTAATTTAGTTCGATTTTTCATTAAATCCCCAAAATTACCCCTATTTCCTTCATCTGTTCTTTTAGATAAGTTTGAATAAATTAAAAATGAATAATAATAATAATAATAACAATCATAATAATAATAATAGTAATAATAGTAATATATTAAAAAATATTATTTCAGCCAACAAAAACAAAATAGAGTAAATGATTAAATATAAAAATTTTAATCTTAAATACTAAAATATATATTACTGAATATAATTAAATATAATTTAGTAATGTATAGTTTATATTAGGTTAACTACACTAAAATATACTCTTATTAGAGCTATAAAAACAGTTTATGATTCTTGTTTTGTTTTGTTATTTGACTTACATGCAATGTACGAACAGCAGTGGGTTTATTTGGCTCCTTTTTGATTACTTTCCTGTTTTTTTTTAAATCGCCTAAAGTAAAAACTTGCCAAGACAAACATCTTGTATGTATCTGTCCATTTAAGTGAACACCAGTGGCCCAATGTAGCCTGCACAGTATGTTCGTGTTTCACTCAGACTCAAATAGCAAAAAACTAACCAGGGAACAATGCCTCTTTGACGGCTTAATACGCTTTTAACTCTTTTTTTAGCATCAAGCATGTCCAACAGGAGACTGTATATTACGACAGTCACGTTACATGCCTCGACTGATTTAAACTTAAAGGAACAGTTCACAGAAAAAATGTAAAATGTTGTCATCATTTACTTAAGTTTCTGTTGAACACAAAAAAGAGAAACTGAAAAATGTTAGGAAAAAACAGCAATTGTATAATTCCATAATATATTTTTGTTCTTACTATGAATGTCAATGGCTGTTGTTTTTCTAACGTTGGTTAAAAAAATCCTGTTTTGTGCTCAACAGAAAAAAGAAGTCAATAAAAGTTTAGAACCACTTGAGTGTGAGTAAATGGTAAATTATTTTAAACAAATACATTTGAAATAAAGAGGTTGTGCTTTCTATTTCTGCTGTTTTTTTGTTTTTTTTTTTCGTTTGGGATTTATATTTATCTGTAATGAAAATAATGTTACATGTGGGATTTTAATGTGGCATTAGTATCAAAATATCTGTGGCAAAGAGCTAATTTGAGTGCATTGTGTTTGATATTCCATATTGCTAAGTTATATTTACCATATCCGAAATATTGCTGCTCAAAGATTCATCTCAATATTTTTGTGCTTTTCTGTTAAAAGTAATTTGTCAATTCTAGCAAGCTTCCTGTAAATTTTAGATAACAGAACTGTAAAGAGATACTGTCACCTTATTCACACAGATTTTAAAACCACAACTGGTTACAGTTTGAAGGAAATTTGCACAAATTATGAGGACTGTATATTATAACCCACATTCTTTAAAAATATCTTCTTTCGTGTTCAGTCCAAAAAAAAATTAATTAACATTTGGAGAAATTTTAGAATGATCTACATCTAGAATCCTAAATCATAAACTGTAAAAGTCATGGGCCTCTAAACCAATTTGAAACAATAACATGAGCCAATTTGTGATCTCAAGCCTACTTTCAGCAATATATACCTCAATCAACAATGAAATCTTAAGAACAAAATGGCCAATGGTGCACCAAGGCACGTGGTATCAGGAAAACAACAGTCGCCATCTTAATACGGTTTACACCTAGCCAGATGAGACTAGGTCAGTTTTCAAATCACATGGTACAAAATCGTTACCTCTTGGTGTATCCTCTGAGAGATTGAGGAGTGCCATATTTCCGTTGTTACTGTTGGGCCCATTATCATAGAAATAGGGTGCATAGTCACTCTGTGCTATAAACAACAAGCAGACATCAGATTAGCATAACCTCAATTAACAGTGTAAAATAACCAGATTTACGAGGACAACTGTATCAATTTGTCATTTTACTAACATCAAGTTGATCACACATAATGTAATAACACTAATAACTCTCTCTATCCACTTGTCTGGGATTACTGGTGTCTTACGTCATAAACAGCTCGATATCCCTTGGTTTACCAAGGCTATTTTACTATATAAATTCATTTATGAAATGAATTTATATCTAAGTTTAGATTTTTTGTTGTTCAGGCAAGCCTGCATTTGCTCACCTCCTACTGTCAAGCAAGAATAAAGATGATGCGAATGAGAAAGAAACATCAAAGTACATTACAGTAGTCAAGAATATTTTCAGCAGTCAACAGCTTACACAATCAAATAAAGGAATGTTGTCTGAGTTCAAAGGTGTTAATGAATACATACCAAAGCAGAAATGCGCTAACAGAAGAAATGATGAAAACTGTATTTCCCTTGCATTCTTCATCCTAACAAAGCAGAGCGGTTACAGCAGGCCAGACAGCACACTATTGAACAGAGCTATGTCGGTGTCCTTCTAAGGGTGTTTGTTTCAGATTGAGGAGAGCTGAGGCAGGTGCTAAAGCCTAATCCAATGACACAAGCCTTAACCCTCAGTGCATTTTTAGAAGCCCAGCTTTGCTGCATAGTAATTTCTGGCCACAAGAGGGGCTCGCGAGCAGCACACCTGAACTGATGTGACAGGTTACACACCATCTTAGTTGTAGTACTACTGAAATATCGCATTCAGAATGCTGGAATGCTGGAGGGGTGGGGGGGATATGGGAGTACAAAAAAAAAAAAAAAAAAAAAAAAAGTGCAAGACCAAAGATATTAACAGTTGAAGACAAAATGATTGATAATTATATTGATTAATAATTTAATTTAATAAAAATTAGCTCCCTATATATATATATATATATATATATATATATATATATATATATATATATATATATATATATATATATATATATATATATATATTCTCTTATTAGCTACAGAATCCACTGTTGTCCAATAACTAGCCTTATTATCCTAGCCTAATAATTGCCTAGTTAGCATAATATCCTAGTTACATCTTCAAATTGCACTTTTAGATTAATACATCTTAGAAAAAGTAGAAAATAGTATGCACTGTCATCATGGCTAAGACAAAAGAAATTTAAAAAATGTGTTGAAAAAATATTCTGTCCATTAAGCAGCGTTCGGGAAATGTATAATATATTATATATAATATATTATACATTTTCCAAATGCTGCTTAATGGACAGAATATTTTTTAAATATATATAAACAGGTCTGCTAATAATTTTAACTTCAACTGTATGCACCTTGCTTTGATCTAAGTTGGACTCCATTCCTTAAAAAACTGTCCTAATTCTGACACCCAGTTGCTGCAGATTTGTCGTCTATGATGTGAATCTTAACTTCCAGCTCATCACAAAGGTGCACTGCTGAATTGAGATCTGTTTGGGGGATGTTTGGGGTTTAGGGAACTCAATGTCATGTTTGAGAAAACACTTGATACACTTGAGATTATTTGAACTTAGCATCACCAGTACAATCAAGAAAGTCAAGGAATCAGTCAAGAAGTTATTCCTCAAACTATTAAACTGCAGCAGCCTGAACCAATGATATGATGAGGCAGGATGGATTCATGCTTCCATGTTGTTCAGGTCAAACTCTAAATCAGATATCCAAACGTCACAGCAGACACCACACAACCTTTGCTGGCTTTCGATTGTCCAAATTTGTTGAGTCTGTGTGAACTGTAGCCTCAGTTGGCTGTTGTTAATGTCAGGAATATCAACAGTGTGCTCTTCTTCTGCTGCTGCTGTAGCTCATCTGCTTTAAGGTTTGATTGTTGTGTGTTAAGAAATGCTCTTCTGCAGATAGTGATTGTTCAAAGCTGTAAAAATAAAAAAGTATTAAATTATAAAAGGCTTTGAATGATATTGATAAGTTCTTATCAAGTATAAATTAAATAAATAAATATTATAAAAAAATGTTATAAGATAAATAATTTTTAAACAAACATTGTTAAATAAATATTAAATGGATAAATAAATGCATACAATTAATTACAATTACAATTAATACAATTAAGTAAATAAATATAAAATAAATACAAGATACATATTATTAAATAAATTTTGTTAATTAAATATTGTTAAATAAATAAATACATAAATACTGCACATACATGCATATAGTACACACATAAAAACATACAATAAATAAAACAGTCAAAAGAACAGATGAGCATGGATAAAAACTAGCCTTGCTATTACTGACTACTGAAAATCACATGCTAGTTGTAAAGTCTCAGATTCAGTTGCCATATAGAAATAAAACTGTTTTCATATGACTTCTCGCTCAGATGAGCAGCTGTGGGGATCACAAACCGAAACACCTGCCAATTTACCTTCATCTACATTTGTGAGTGTGGCTTTGCTTTCAGGTTTAATTTGTTTGGAACAGGCAGATGGCAGGCAAGCAGATTAACCTACAATAATCCTTCATCATCGTGTAGTGCTCAGAGCCAGTCTACAGGGACATACAAACTAGAAACATCTCTGCATGAACAGCACAGAAAACAGTGAAATCTGGCCACATCACAACATATTGATTATCTTAAGATGATGATCAAAATTCTGAAGTGATTATGCTTATTAATAACAGATTTATTGCATTGCTATTGTATTATCTACATTTAGAAATCCTAAGCAATGAGGATAATTTTGCTCTATTATATAAAAAGAATGCTCATTTTTTAATCAGAGAAAAAACTAAAAGCAAGACAAAAATCCAGTGTTTTGACAGATTAAACCTGAAAACGTCTTGTATATGGTGGTCATGTGCGTCAGTCATACATCAGCAGTGTGGATTATGTGACAGAATAGAAACCTTGAATGGCAGACAGATTTACCATTTATGAAAAATATTATCATCTTCTTAAATCTGTTTCTGACGTGAATATAAAAGGTCTTAGATATCGCATTTATTGTGATTATCCTGGCATGGTCTAAAATAGGACATGCAAAAGCCAACAAAAATAAAAAAATAAAAAAGAGGAAAACGGAAAGAAACCTCAAATGACATTCTGAGTCTGCCTGATTTTTAATGATATCAGTGTGAATTTATACATCAAATATCCTTTTTAACATTTTGATATATGAAAATATGACATTTAAAGGTAGAAACATTATATGAAATAATATTATATGTATCTACGTGTGCTTGAATATACATATGAATGTGTGTACTGATTCATTACAACACTTTTTATTACATTATATTCAATATTACAAAGGTAATTTCTGACATTCGGAAAGGTTACAGTTGTGAAAACGGATGTGTGACAACTGGGACACTTTATATTTCATCAAGCCCAATACTGTGTAGCTATAAAGATCTGAAATCTTCAATCCACATGTTAGAATGTTACTGCTTGGATTACAAATAAGCTTTGGATTGGATGTAAAGTCTGGGGCATCAGCATATTTGGGTCATAATAATCTTCTTGCAAACTTCAGTTCATTTGAAAATATATTACGTATTATAGCTCAGTGTTTAAGCTTTTACATGGTCGACCAACCCAATCATTTTCTTTTTGCACGTTTCTCCTATTTCCAAAATGCTCTGAGAAATGTAAACAAACATGGCCCTTGTATTTAAGCTATATAAATAAAGTTGCAGAGATATGCACTTTACGTTACGGAAAAAAGTAGGAGACCACCTGAATGATCAGTTTCTCTGGATTACCGGATTTATTAGGTATGGGTTTGAGGAAAATATTAATATTTATATAATTTAGAGCACCAAAAAATGTCAAATGGCCAGAATAACAAATGTTTTCATTTGTTCTTGTTGACAATTGGGGTTATTCTACTAAAAATGTATATTTTAACTCTGCTGAAGTTAAAACACTGATATTGTGTTTTTACAATTTAGTTCAGTTTATAAAAGTCAACAAATTGCATTTTTATTGTAATTTAATGCAAAACAATGACAATTTAGTTATGTTGTGTTTGAGTAAAATGTAGTATTTTTTATTGTGTAAACTATGGATAAAAGTTTTTCCTAATTTAAAATAAATTTGTCATGTAGAGGCTTTGTTCTACAAAAAACTAACTTCAATAAACTATTTTATAAAGATTGAAAACAAATGCTATCATGACAATTTAAGCAAAGTTACAGACCAGTAAAAAAAGATTTTAATTTGAGTTAAATTTACACAATTATTCCAGCAACTGCTTATTTTAAGTGGCCTCCTTTATTTCCACAGCTGCACAAAGACAAACAGCTGTAAACATCACAATGTTTAAATAAGATAACAATAGTACCTCAAAAGTTGCTCTGAAAGTTCTTGAAAAGATGCAGCTGAGATTCAATACACATACAAAAACAGTATTTTTACTATATAGCAAGAAAACGGTTTAAAATGTGAATATTTTAATCATTGTATTTCATTAAAAAAGATCAATACTACTGTACATCACCGCCACCACGTGGTTACATGACGTTAATACTAAAAGTTTTGAGGTTCTCAATCGTGGCACATTCATAAATCAACAATCTGTGCGTTAAGTGATCTCTGAGCACTCATTCAGAGCAAAATAGCAGCACATCAAACAAGTGCATAAAAACGCACACAAACTAGCCTGTCTACAGAGAAATCTATAGTTTAACAAACATTAAAAAACTTTCAAACACAATTTAAAAGATGTTGCATAGTATTATCACAGCATAATAAAACGATAACTGTAGTAACTTTTAGATAAAAACATGTTGGAAAGCAGCCTAACTGTGCTTCGCAGTTTCGTTCAGACACGTTTTTTCCCGTTATTCGTTTATTAAGTGTACTCAGCGTTTTATCGCAGATTTCAGACCCCATCAACCCCTTTGCAAAAGGGGGGGTGAAGAAATCCACGTAGGAGTGTCCCGGGCCCTCCTCAAACAGAAAAGCCCTTGTGAACACACACAGGGGGTTCTTATTTGACCACGTGACCGTGTATCCAAGGATAGCCCAAAACTTGGAAACCGCCGAGTAATGGACATGTTTCCCAGCATGATTTACCGGAGAAAAACGCACATGGATATACTTGAATAAAAAGTATTTAGGAAATGCTAGAAGAGTGAAATGACTTTGGAACCGTTTAGCATATGAATTCCTGTTTAGAAATGCCTAAATGGGAAGTTCGTTTTCAGTGAAAGGTCTCGCTTTGTTCGTGGAAACAAGTGCATTAAGTCTATATTACAGGATTGATAAACCTTTTTCTTTCGTGTAATTTGAGTGATAGCCTATTCCCTCAAGTAAATGAGCGCAGTGCTTTGGAGTTTTTATTTTCGCACAGGAACAATGTGTACCAGACGCAATCATTTAGGATGCTCCAGATGAACCAGTTCCGTTCAGTAAGGTAAGATTTTTTTTTAATCCAGCAGCATCTGTTATCAGTCCAGTCATGTCAATTTTATAATTATCGTCTCTCAGTCACGCTCCATTAACTTTCACTGGAAGTTTTGTAGCTTAATTACTTTCTCTGCACCAGACAACATAGTTTTAGAGATTGTTCTGTCTTTTATTAGCTTAATTCTCATATCCATCCATCCATCCATCCATCCATCCAAGATACAGTCCTGGCTATTAGTACATTTAAGAGTTTTGCCTGAATGAGCTCTAATATGAGTTTTAAGGTAGTACTTAGTTTTAGAAATTGGGTAGGATTATAGGTGTAGAATAAGATCATACAGAAGATGTATACATACTAATAAGGCAATACTTTTTTAATAATAGGCAGGTTATAAGCCTAATTAATGTTAATAATTGGTACTTGTTGGTAAAAATGTAACATTCTTTCTTTCTTTCTTTCTTTCTTTCTTTCTTTCTTTCTTTCTTTCTTTCTTTCTTTCTTTCTTTCTTTCTTTCTTTCTTTCTTTCTTTTATATCTCTTTAAAAGCAAACAAATGTCACGTGACAAAAGTTTGTTTTGCCTACTTAATATTTAACTTAATCTTATGAGTTTACAGATATTCATCCCTATTTTCTTTACCATTTGTAAAACTGATTAAGTAAAGAACTGAGTAATAAACCTCTCTCCGCAAATTGTATTATGGCACCACATGTCAATAAATGTACAAAAGTTATGTTATACTCAAAAAGTAGAGGTGTGAACCTACACTGGTCTCACTGTTCGGTTACATTTACATAACATTTAGTCATTTTGCAGACGCTTTTATCCAAAGCGACTTATAAATGAGGACAAGGAAGCAATTTACACAACTATAAGAGCAACAATGAATAAGGGCTGTAGGTTGTAAGTTTCAGGTATGTAAAGTGTAAGAAGCAAAACATTAGTAATTATTATTATTATTATTTTTTTTTTTTTTTTGTAATCCAGTTAGCGGTAGAACCAGAGAGGCAATTGCAGATTAGGAAGGGAAGTAGAGACTAAATAATTGAACGAATAGGCTCTCATATCATCGATTCCGTTCAATTCGATATCTCGATGCATAACGGTGCATTGATGATGCTTTCCATACATAATTATATTTTACTTCACAGCACAAGAAAAAATATATTTATATTTATATATTATATGTAATACAATTTTGTCCTTTAATACAAGTTAGATATATGAACTACTTTTAAAAACTCAAGTCACAGAACAACATGAGCATTTATAGCAAATAAACAAATGTACTGGTAAATATCCTGCTTGCTTACTGAGCCTTGTCAGGCGAGTTCTGACACTGCTACGATTGGTCACATGCTCAACAGAAAGGGCTGTGATTGGCTCTAATGCTCTGGCGCTACTCACCGATGATAAACACTGATACACAGCATTGGCGATCACAGCCTCGTCCATTTCACGAGGTGCGCGATGCGGCCCAGGTGAAAGTATAAATCCAGCTTGATTCATGATGGATGCGGTGGAGAAAACTCACTCATGTCTGTATACAGAAGCAATGCTGTAACAGGCAAGAGGAGAGGAAACTTCACACCAACAGGTTAGAAGTCCACTGAGAGAGAAAGATATATATATATATATATATATATATATATATATATATATATAGAGAGAGAGAGAGAGAGAGAGAGAGAGAGAGAGAGAGAGAGAGAGAGTTTACTTTCATTTTCTCAATCGCAGAGAAATAGGGGCTTCTGCTGTTCAGTGTCAGTGAAAGACTGTCCAGCAAACTCACAAGCACTCAATTGTGCAGTTTCTGCATTTTTAGGTAGTTGGGGTGTTTTAATTACTCATGTTTGCCTCCCTTCGCCATAGCTACCGCGACATAGCTCATATGAGATAAATGACGTAATAAGTAGGTAATAACTGATCATTGATTATGATTATTATAATTATTACTGAACCAATACCAAAATGTCTGCGTCTGCATCGTGGCAGTGCTGGTTCTAGCTTAAATAGCACCCTGGGCGAACCACCCCATACGAATGCCCTTCCAGCGGCAACCCATTACTGGCCAATATACCGCCCAATATTATTATTAATATACAATTACTATTCTAAATAAACAACATAAATCAATCCTATATGTAACTGCAAAACTATGTAAATAAAGACACAACTGGAGTGGAGTGATATGTAAAGATCACTTAAGAAATCTTTTGCATGAATATTAATGACAATTCATAATACAAAAATATTTATGTTTACAGAATTGTCTGTTGTCTTTGACCCGTCTCATGGCAGAGAAAGCTTTAACTCTCTGACTCATTATCCCTTTCTGCTTCATAGTAATGCTTTGTCAAAATAAGATCATCATTATATAAACTTTAGTTCTGTCGACTTACAAAACTCGCTTGCTCCCGACACCTCTGCATAAAATTTAAACCATTTACTCCGGTTTCACAGCACATAGACGCGCCTATTTTATCTGTGTAACTGTAAACAACCGGGATTCACACCGGGGGCAGAGCAGAGCGTGAGGCACTTGGGAATCGTTTTTTGTGAGCATGCGTCAGTTTGATTTCACCAGCGCTGTTTCGGTTGCACATAGAGAGTAACAAGCTTGCGCATGTAAAAGATGCTAAATGTGAATCACTCCTAACGTCTTTATTCTGGCATTAACACTCTAAATATACTCAATATATCTCAATATACTTGAATGAAGTAGATGGTATCTCAAAGCTTTTACTGGGGCTTATTTTTTTTCTCCCCGTTACCGTCTCCCTGTGTCTCCCCCCGACAAGGTGCCAATTGCCCATATTGCCCATGCCTAAATCCACCACTGCATTGCGGTGCACAGAGGAAACAATTAATTTCGACACCCCTAGCAAAAATATTTGCTAAAAATAAATTATTTGCCTTAATGTTTTAGCTTTTCTTTCATTTTTTAAAATCCATTCAAAATGTGCAAGATAATGTTCCATCGTCACATAGCCAATTCATGAAACATGAAACCACATACTTACTCTGACCTGTTATTATACTATAAAAGTTTAGGGGTCATATAATATCGTCTTTTCAATTATTCTTTCTAAAAAATAGCTTAATTCCATAGTTCGAAGTATCTAAGATGACAATTAATCAGAATAGAGGGGCTGCACATTGACCCTTAATTTGTCCTTCTAATAGTTATATTTGTTTTTGTTCATTTTTATTCCAGAAAACCGCATTTTCAATTTTAATCAATAACCAATAAAGACAGAAATTCAAAAGACAAATGTTTCAGCTTTTTACAGTGTTACCATAATATTTACTTGTAAGATTAGTCCCCAGTGATCAACTCAAAACAAGTGAAAGTCATGCTGTGCCTTTACTATGTGTGTGTGTGATTGATTTAGTCTGTGTGTGTGTATGTATGTGTGTGTGTGTGTGTGTGTGTGTGTGTGAAAGAAGCCATTTGGTGCCACGTCTCTTTAAGGTTTACATTTTGTGATACGTCCATGACAAATACACCCCCTGTTTCCATTCCTGTTCCCCCTCCTCCACCACTGCCGCAGCTGCAACTCGTGGGCTCGGGCAGCACAAGCGAGCCTGTCACTGGTGATAGTGGATTTATCTCATATAGAAGAACTCCAGCTAAACACTGCCTATCTCCCAGAAGGCTCCATCACGCACTGCTGAACCGCAAAGCGCTCAGTAATGAAACAAGACAAAAACACAAGGATGAAACATGCTCCCTGGCCCCAGACGGCGCACACCTCTCTGAAAGCCATGCTAACTCACTTCCTGTGTCATGTTTTCTGACAGAAAATGCCACTAGATTACATTCGAGTAATACTACTGAATAAAAAAAAAAAGGTGGCGCTATCCCAAAGGTTTAAAATGATTGACCATATGTCACAGACTGGTGTGAATGCATCAGATGTGCTGTAGTTTATTTTAACAAGCTGGATCTTCCTCCTATCTCTGGGGAACAAATCAAATCCAAACACATTTTACACAATGAAAATAAACCAACGCTCCTGCTGCTGCAGTAGGTCTATTAAAGCATTTTTACTCCCCAACACATCTATACGGCTGTAAGAGAAGCCATTAATGTAATTTGTATGGGAATGATGAACAGAGTGATGTCCGTTTCTGCTTGAGCAGATCATCAGATTTGTCAAACGCTCCAGTGGCTTTTGAATATGTAAAGATTTCAGCTCAACCGCCGTGCATGACAGTTTGACGGCAAGGGCATAATAAGCCCACATAATTGGTTTATATTTATTTAGACTGCGCACTATCATTCCTTGACGGCTCGAAAAATTGTGTCGTATCCTAAATGCTACTCTTTGTGCAGACAAATTGCATGGCATTTACCTATGACAGCGTTCCTACTGGTACACGTCTTACTTCGAGACTTACGATCTTTAGCACAGTGTCACATGCGTAAAAGCTTCTGTCAGGCAATGGCCTTGTTGGTTTATTTGCAAATATGTGTTCTTGATATAATCCAGATGAACCCCATGTTGTAGGAGCCATGTACAATTTTATGAAAGTTGGCAGTAAATGTCAAGTGCGCTAATAAGGGGGTGTCATTAATAGAGTAGTACGGAACAGTACAGGTCACATTTATCAGGCTTGCGTTTCCACTGCCAAAAGGGTAGCAATGGTAGTTTCAGTCGATGTTGTTCTCGGTCAAGGAAATGTTAAAGTAAAGGCGTACAAGTTGTTCACATATCGTATGAGAAGCACTTCATAAAAAACAGGTGCTTTATACACAAATACTTGTGTATAAATGTTCATTACTAACCTTTCTATGAACATGATTTGATTATAACTGCAGATCAATGATAGTGTGAAATAGTCTACTGTAACGTCTGCAATTATATAAAATAAATAAATAAATAAATGCAACATATATGAACACATACAAGTCCTTACAGTCTCTGAGATGTTACCAATTACAGAAAAACTACACTCAGCAAACATTTAGTCCTTATTTGGGTTCAAAAATAAGACGCAACATATAGCCCACAGTCAATGCAAACCTCTCATCTGTATCTTTAATCTTCGCCAGCACATTTAACTTCTTGTTAGAAACTAATTCTCTCATTTGGAGTTCATATTAGTCCAAAAGGTGATGATAATGGTTGAACAGGGCAGTGTGTGTTCATGTTTTAGGTTGCTGAAAGAATCATTTCGACTTCTCCTTTGTTTTTTCGCACATCAGTCTCACGTTTGTCTATTTCTGTAAGACTTGGATGTCAGAAGCACTTTAATAATCACGTTATTATCATCAGCTCAAGAAGTTCATTATTTTAATTATAGATGCGCGGTGAGCGCAGACGAGAAGTGAAACTACTTGCGCTTCAGACGGCCTTGTAAACAACTACGAGGCACAGGGTAGATTGTGTTCTTCTTCTTGGCTTTGTGGCTGTTCATCAAGATGACAACAAGGTTTGTTTGAGCCCTTTCGAAAGGGTACCCAAAAAGTGGTATGGTTTGCTTTTATGGCCATTTTAACTTTCAGAAGGTACCAAAAAGCCTACTGTACCATACCACCCAGTGGAAACAGCCAAAATTATTTGGGAATTAAACATATGCTGTGGGCAAATGGAAGAAGGCATAGGGAAGCACATTTTTTGTTGATTATACTCAAATGTTTTTTGTAATGCTTTAAATACACTGGATCGTGGGAACTTTGCCATGACATAGGAAACTTTTTGTAGGTTTAAAAAAATTCAAGACGCTAGCATAAAGAATGATTGATGCGCCACTAAAGGTATTTCCTCTCTCAGCTCCAGCGGTTGTAGTTTATTTCTTTAGCCACTCACTGGTGTTGTTTGGTTTTCTTACACCATGCATTACTGCTGCTAAACGACACAAAGTCATGAATGGAGCTGCGTCAGGTTATAGCAGCTCACCCACTCAAAGCCATTCAGTGGGGTTATCTGGGGTCAAACATGCCCTAAAGCAATTGGTTTTACTGCAATGCAACAGCCTGGTTCATTTGTAGAGGTGTAATGGTGTTATTTCTTTATCATATCCCACAGGAAACGGGTATCTAAGATTAGGGAATTTTTTTACTCAATAAAGATTAACAATCTGTTTGATATGCATTACAGTTTTTCTCAGTGGCTTTAGTATATTTCTCAGATCAGAATTGAAACTCAAAACTACCTGTTCAATCTTCAGATCATTGATTAACTTGTGCACATCAATAAAGCAGTTTCTCATTTCTTTGAAATGTCTATGCAAATGATTACCTACAATTCTTTGCTGTTTCCTACATTATAAATTGCTTGTGTCATGTTGATCAGAATTTGCCATTGGTACGAGTTGTTTTGAGAAATGCACTTACTGTTTTGCAAATGGTTTAAGAAATGTACTAAAGCCTTATTCATCATTTAAATTTTTGGCATTGCGTAAACACTTTTAATGGCACTTCAAATCAAAATCTTCCGCGTTTTAGATTTTCTATGAAAGCATGTAGTCTGATTTTATGAAAAGAATGTTGCTGCTACAGTAAAATAAAAATACAGAAAAGAAAAAGGATTAATGAAACATTTTTGCAGAAGTAGATGGAGCATTGTCTAAAATTAACTTAAGCTTTGAAGCTAAATTTACTTTCACAGAGATGTTTTAAAACTGAACACATGTGCAGTTGAGAAAGGTTTAGACTTTTTAATGTTGTGCAGAGAATTCGTAGAGAAAAACGATGTATGTATGGGTGCGGCCGATGAAGGACTGGAGAATGATTGACAAGTGACGAATTTCACAAAACTCCACCTTTTAGTATCAACTGCCCATATAAGTTAAAGTCTGTGCGCAGCTCCTGAATGTACATTTTCATTGCATTGAGGATAACAAAATTCTGTAAATCGAATTATTCATTTGTATACAATAAATTGCTAATATGTGAAACCTTAAAGAAAAACCACCATTGATCTTTTTTTTTTTTAAACACGCATGGAATTGATTATTCCAACACTTACAAGTGTCTCTTTATTTTGTTATCGAGAAAAAGGTTTGCGGTGTATATTTGTATGTAAACCAACAATTTGCTCCAGAGATATTTCCATTGCCATTTTATATAAAGAACAAATAAGTCTAACATGAGTATATTGAATCACATTCATAAATGCGCATGGATGCAAGCTCAAGCAATAAGTGGCTGCAGTTCACATAATAGCCACTGTCACTAATAACAAAGTTTCTTCGATCTCACATAATTTTGATGGTTCGTTTGTTAAATTTAAGTCACATTGCATCTACATGCCAACTAATTATCATTAGATTATAAGTAGAATGTTAGGGCTAGTGTAAGTTGACATGTACTTGCAAAATTTTTTTATAGTCAGTTAAATGTCTGTTGAAGGAGCAGTATCAACAGATATTAAGCAGACAGTCTACTAATACTCAAATGGACAATCACAATTAAGTGTTACCTTTTCTTTATATACTCTTGCCTTCTGTAGAACCTTCAGTTCTAAATCTAGTTAATTACACTCCAAAACAAGCGTTTATTTATACAGTAAACAAAAACTACCCCCACAACAAGCGGTCAGAGACTGTTAACAGATGGTTCATGGAATTCAAGTCCTGAACTCTCAGGAGTGAAAGAACAGCCAAGGATTACAGTATAGTTACTGTCTGCTTTCATAAGATAGTGTATTAAATAAATACTGTTATAATGCTATTACAAACAATGCAAAATAATACAATGCAAAGTTTATTGTAGCCTGTACATCTAAGCTTTTCGTCACAAATGAAAACTGTTTACTGCCAAACAAAAAAAAATCCACCATCTGGATTCTTTGGATTTAATAAAAGCATTTCAGTCTTGGTGCAATAGGAAGTGACATTTGACTGCGGGCTGTCTAGAGTCAGTACCAATGCTTCTTTTGGATCACTCCATTGTCACTCTCAGCATTATTAAAAGTATAAAATATAAACATCTATATTTAATAGTTAGTAATAAATAAAGTAAACACAAATTCTAACTTTGTCACCATGTGTAATTTGTAATGTATAATACTAAAATGAAACTATAAAAAAGATAATACTGTTGGAATATCTATCTCTATTCCATGCGTGTTCAAGAGAAAAGGTCTGGAGAGGTTTTTCTTCAATGTCAAAAATCGTAACAATTTATTGGATACAAATGAATAATTCGATGACAGAGCTCTGGGTTACGTTACCCCAATGCAATACAAGAATTACATTCAAGAGGTTCGCAACTAACATATATTTCCTGACTTCAGCATATATACACCACCGATCTTAACAGGTGGAGTTTTGGTGTAACGTCACTTGTCAGTCATTGTTCAGTCCTTGGCCGCCCCTTCGGCATACTTCCTCTTTTTCTATGAATTCTCTGCCCAACAACAAAGTATACATCTTTCTGTGTTCTGTGTTCAGTTTTAACACCTCTCTTCAGACAGGAAGTTTCTGCAGAGCTGAATTTAATTTTGGACCCGCATCTATCTACTTCTGCAAAAATGGTAATTAGTATGCACAGCACTCACCCACAACATTAGAAGTTCAGTTAATATATGACCCTTACATGACCAATACAAATAATTGTTTGATTAAAAGTAAAGAGACAAAAAATAATAAAAAATGGTTCCTATTATTCAATAATACCAAAGAAGAACTACCTTTTGCTGGTTAATTGTGTGCCATAGTGAGCAGTGAACTGCTGAGACGTTGTGCTGTTGGACCTGATCATCTTTCATCATTCCACATTAGTGGAATTACTGGACAGGTGATGACAGTGCAGGCTGCTTGTTTGGGAACAAAGCTGAAATTGTCTGTGTCTGCTTATACTCCCCTGAGCCAAATGCTATAAATCTGTCACCACCTGGAATCAATATACAGTATTGGTGTGTTAGTGGGATTGTTATGTTTCTATGGAAATGGTTCCAAAACGTGTTTTTTTCTTCTTGATTTTGTTTATTGCAGATGAATTGTAGACCTAGGTTCTGACATGAGATGAACCCAAAACAGTTGGCAGAAGTGACTAAATAGCAGTCTGTGGAGGGATTTCCGAAAGAAAAGTTCATTTGAGGATGAGGAACAAGTACGCAATCATCATCATCTGCATTGTGGCACTTGTCATCATTGAAAAGGAAAACAATATTATTTCAAGGTGAGAGTTTGTTGGAATAAATAAATATGGGTTCATCAGTTTAAGGGGTTTTACATTTATTTCTTTGATTCAATAATTGCAGGGTCTCAGACAAGCTGACTCTCCGACGGACGCAGGAGCATCCAGTGCCCTACAATGCTTCCAATACTCTGGTAGCAACAGGGTACAACAGTTCCTATCTAGAGAGCATATATGGTAAAAATGGCAGTCAAGCAGGCCGAAAGCACATCCTCCTAATGGCCACAACACGGACAGGATCTTCCTTTGTGGGCGAGTTCTTTAACCAACAGGGCGACAACATGTTTTACCTCTTCGAACCACTCTGGCATGTGGAGAGGATGCTATCTATTGGCTCGAGTGGCACAAATGGCAGCATGTCTGTTTGGATGTACAGGGACGTCCTGCAGCATCTTTTCCTGTGCAACTTCTCAATGTTGGAGCGCTTCATCAGTCCTCCTCCGCGGGATCACGTTACCCCTTCCCTGTTTCGCAGAGAGTCCAGCAAAGCCCTCTGTGAGGAGCAAGTTTGCTCTCCAGTCGTAAAGTACATTTTTGAGAGATACCATTGCAAGACAAGACGTTGTGGGCCTCTTAATTTGACCATGGCGTCCGAGGCTTGTCTAGCAAAACATCACAGGGTGATCAAAACAGTTAGAGTACGTCAACTAGACACACTCCGTTCTCTAGTAGAGGACCCTCGGCTGGATGTCAAACTCATACAGCTTGTGCGAGACCCTCGAGCTATCCTGGCTTCGAGGATGGTGGCGTTTGCTGGCAAGTACCAGAACTGGAAAAGTTGGGCTGTCAATGGGGAAGTGCCAATAGAGGATGAAGAGGTTAAGCGTCTTGAAGGAAATTGTAACAATATCCGAATCTCCGCCGAGCTGGGCTTAAGTCAACCCAAATGGTTGAAAAAACGCTATATGTTGGTACGTTATGAGGATATCGCCCGGTACCCCATGCAGAAAGCAGCAGAAATGTACAATTTCACAGGCATCCCGATGACGACACAAGCAAGGGACTGGATCCTCAAGAACACACACGCATCAGAAGCAAACGGAGTCTATTCAACCCAAAAAAACTCTTCAGAACAAGTGGAGAAATGGCGGCTCAGTATACCATTCAAACTTGCACAAGTTGTACAAAAAGTCTGTGGACCGACCATGAAACTTTTTGGGTACAGGTTTATAGACAGTGAACAAACACTTTTAAACAAATCTTTCAGTGTGCTGGAAGAAAAGCAATTCATTTAGTCCTGAATTGTTTTTGAATTGGTTAAGGAAAACCAAGCATGAATTGCTATATGCATAGCAGACACACACTGGCACAATGTAGCACACTGGGACATTGCTTAAGTCCAAAGTATACTTCATTTTTATATATGCTTGCGGGGCAGGGCTCCAGACTAACTTTTGAGAGCAGTGGCACTGGTGCTGCTAAGCTCTACAGATAATGACACAAACACCAGATTTGTTAGTGCTGCATGTAATTGTAATTACAAGTTTTGTCTCTTAGAAATACACATTTAACAGTAGACTGAGTTAAGAGCTAAAATCCAGATATACACAGTATATATTTTCATAAATGAAGTACATTCTATAAAAATGCAATAGATTCAACTTATTTATTTGTTGATTACAATGACCACAAGTACCATTTAACAACCTCACTTCCTTACCAAGTGGTCTAAATTTTGGATATGTGCATAATAAAAAGGTTGATGAAAACACCAAGATGCGCATAAATTTTGAAAATGTGCATAAAAAACATGTGCATAACTGAGAAGGATAAACTTTTTATTCGATAAGAAACGATGCGCATAAACTATGATGAAAACACTTTTACCGAACAAATTCCAGTATGTGCATTAAAAAAGGTCATGTGATTTTGTTATAAGAGATAAAAACCAGCAGGCTGAGCACATTGTAAAACATCTAAAATGTTGTTTTGGTCATTCTAAAATGGTGTAACCGTTTCTGTATTAGTGTAATTAGTTTTACTGCTTGTCAGGATTGTCTTCTGAGGCACAAGTCATTTATCAAATGAAGAAAAGATTCACGCGGCTTCTCCTACCGCAGCAAATTCCATTTTTACTGTTTTTTTTAAAAGTTAATCAGGAAGTGACGATTTTGTTCACTTTACTACTTGGATTGAAACGGTACTTTATTCGCACGTCTTTTTACTTCCGCATTACCCCTGTATTACACATAAAGTTAATTAGCATTATAGGATGGAAACATAGCTATTGGCAAATTTGTTTAACATTTGGTTTCATAGTATAGTTCAAACTTAACCCTTCTCCCTTTATTTAACAGTCAACATTTATTCGACGGGTCAAAACACATTCCTTCTATCTCATGCTGTGCTGCCTTTGAAACTAAGTTAAAAAATAGTCAGTGCACATAAAAAATTCGGTTTTATTTAGATTTTGGTGCAATGTATCTCATGCATAATGTCATTCTTTATCAGTCTAGCAAATCAATTTGTGGCTCCCAGACAACCTCTAAAGCCGATTTTTGTACGGTACAGTAAGTTTCAGCACAGCTCAGCTTGATTTGGATTTGCTTGACCAGGTTGCATTTAGCCTGCAGTTTAATTCCGCTTAAATTAAGGAGGACTATTGCTATAGTTGCGCCGCCTCTACTTCAGTGACATCATCATAAACACAATACAAATGAATGAGTAACACAAACAAAAGCACAACACAAAGACAATGGATGCTACCAATAAAATTGTGTTATTTAAAACAGTGTTTCTCAACCACGTTATTGGAGGACCACCAACACTGCATGTTTTGGATGTCTCCGTTATCTGTCACACCCATTACAGGTCTTTCAGTCTCTGCTAATGAGTCAGGTGTTTTTGGAAAATGAGACATGGAAAATGTGCAGAGATGGTGGTCCTCACGCTGTAAAACCCAACAGTCAACTTTATCAAATGAAATAAGTGTAGTTAACTCAACATTTTCTGAACATTAATTCTACACATTTAGAAAGAGTTTTCAACTCAGTGTTGAAGATAATGAGTTAATTAAATACCTCATTACTTCAATTTAAATGGAGTAAGTTCACAGTACTCATATAGATTAATATTATAACTCATATGGTTTGTAGCAATCGATTTTCTCAAATGGTTTGAGTTGCCTTAACTTATTGGGTTTTACAGTACTTAGTTGGTTTGAGTTCTCTTCATTTATTGGGTTTTACTGTGATTAAATTGCTTTGTTTGCTCAAATGGATTATGTTCACAGAACTCATAAGGATTAGTCTTCCTTAATTTTTTTTACTTAAATGGTTTGTTGCAATCAGTTTCCTCAAATGGTTTGAGTTACCTTAACTTTTTGGGTTTTACAGTGCAGGAATGTTGTTGAGAAACACTGCTTTAAAATGATGACTATTTAAATATAGCAGGTGCTAATCCAATGATGATTATCGACAATTCTCTCGGATGAATCAATGATCTGCAGTGTGTATACGTGACTTTTTGGCAACATTGTGGCTCTCTTGGAACCATACCTAATGTGATACTAGGCACTGAACGCACTAGAAAAGCCCCAGAGAGTGCTGTACCAAAGCAAACCACACCGTACCATGCAGTGGAAAAGTAACATACAAATATTTAGTCAAGCTGGTTGGAAATAATGTGCAAAATGCAAGCGTTTGATTGCAGTCTGGAGCCCTGATTGGGTTAGTTTGTGTATAGTGTGCATTACATGAATTTCCTCATCAGCATAGAGCATGTTTACAGCCTGTTTTTTTTTCTGATCACGTGCACAATGTATGCATATCTCATGCACTTTGAATTGTTTTTGCACTACAAGTTTGTCCACTGAACGATTGCTGTTTTACAGTCGAAAAAAAGGGTGACATGACAACAACAACAAACTACTGAAGACCCAAAAACAATGGAGGCCAATGTTGATGAGTGCATGTGTGAGGGGAATAAAATACAATCAAATACGCTATTTTAAACAATACAAAAGATAATTTATCTCTTATAACTGTCCTAATGTGTGTTGAGGTGTTCACTATTAAATGAAGTAAACTTTTAAAGGTTGTGTTGTCAACTGTCCACGTATGTTAGAATAAAATAACCCTAATATACTTTGGTCTTAATACGGAGGAATTTGTGCATTTCATTACCTGAATTATTTAAACATGAAGCCTTTTGAACAAGCTGAGGTTGAGTTACTGATTTTAGACACCTTCATTTTTAAAAATGATGAGGAAAAAATAATTTATACTTATAAGATGAGACACAATCCTGTCTGTGTGAATGTGTGTAATGAAATCTTGTGTCTGTCTTGTAACTGTGTTTCCTTATACTAAATAGAAGCTAAAGAATCATTATTACACAAAAGTGAAGCAAACAAGTGGTCCTGTTTTACCTATTTATAGTCAGCGGAGTCATTGTAAATAATTTTGTTGAAATTAAAGCACAACTTTGTCAGAGTTTGTCATCTCTTATTATTTTGGGATGTAAAATTTTTTTTAAAATGTATCTGGATATTACCAGATATTGACTGAGAATAAACTTCAACTGTGAAAAGAGGCAGTCAGTATCAATTGCAGCTTCTGACAGCCAGCTGTGAACCCGGAGTACAACAGTGGCATTATTCATTAAAAATACTGGAGTGCAGACTAGACGTCGGTCCATACAGATGACATTTAATATTTTACATTTCTTAAAAAGTAAGTACAAAGATAAAATATGATCTTTTACATATATAACTTTGTTTATTGATTTATAAAAAATACTAAAGAAAATACAAAGCTATTCCAAAAAGAGTTATTCTTTGTCCATGTAGCTTTAATGATCAAGAGAAAAGGTAGAATATGAATTTAAACATTTTGTAGCGCCGGTTTCTTGAGGGGAAAATATTGCAACATCTAGGTCTGAGGTTCAAAGTAATGTCAGACAAACATTTAAACAGCATTCTTGAAATAGTTTGACAACAGCAAAGCCCTGTGGTAAAAAAGCTGTATCAAACATTTGTTTTATTTTTACTGTTACAGTTACTGTCGAGAAAAGCATTGGGATTTAATATGACAGTTTAACATCTACCTCTCATATAGAAATAATAAAATAAGAGCCTGGGAACAAGGTTTTTTTTTTTTTCTGAACAAATAGTGATACAATCATATCTTAACAACACACATATATCTGCATCACCCTTAAACTATTTCCTGGCTAAGGAAACTTAGTGTGTGCCAAAGCATAGCTAGCTGCACTGGGATTGCAGTTGTTCTTTGAAATAAGCTATGATCATTTCTATGAGCTTTATGCTGCAATCACACCACAATACAAATTCATACATTGTTAGAAGTACAATAGGTACTTTTATAAAATGGTACTATTAACAAAATTAGCACAACAATAGACAACAGTGGTTTTGTAAAAGAACATTTCATTGGAGAGCTTATACTTTTGTCTTCAACTCTATATACTGTATATCTCCATATGATTGGCTTTCCCAATCTGGAAAACTTGCTCTGTAGCTCATCTGGTAAAGCTATGAACTTGTGATGCCGAGCAATCATGTACAAGTATCATGAAAAAAAGTTAAGCTAAAAAAATAAGCCAAGTATCAGTTAGTGTAGGTGTTATTTTATTTCAAACATGGTAATATAACCTTATAGTGCTTCTCACTGGCCATTTAAATTCTAAACTGCTTGACAGTGCGTGAACCAGCATAGAAAACAATTACTGTGACAGTTTTATTTCTTTGTTCGTTTAATTATGCTTTTTAATGCCACTCTGGCAATTTTAGTATATACAGTTGAGGTCAGAATTATTAGCCCCCTTGTTTATTTTTTTCCCTCAATTTCTATTTAACGAAGAGAAAAAAAATTTTTCCAACACATTTTTAAACATAATAGTTTTAATAACTCATTTCTAATAACTGATTTTTTTATCTTTGCCATGATGACACTAAATAAAATTTTACTAGATATCTTAAGACCCTAGTATTGTGCTTAAAGTGAAATTTAAAGGGTTAACTAGGATTAATTAGGTTAACTAGGCAGGTTAGGATAATTAGGCAAGTTATTGTATAACAGTGGGTTGTAGACAATTGGGAAAATTTGCTTAAATGAGCTAATAATTTTGACCTTAAAATGGCCTTTAAAAAAATTAAAACTGCTTTTTTCTAGCACAAATAAAACAATTAAGACTTTCTCCAGAAGTGAAAATATTATTGGAAATACTGTGAAAGTTTCTTGCTCTGTTAAACATTATTTGGGAAATATTTAAAAAAAAAAAAAAAAAAAGAGAGAAAAAAAATCAAAGGGGGCTAATATTTTGACTTTAACTGTATAGTTTACCCCAAAATTAAAATAAATTAATTACCTAATTAAATTATTTAATTAAAGAAGATGATTTATAAAATGCAAATCAATGGCTAATGGTACTTTGGGAATCACCAAAAAAAACAAAAACAGACAAACAAACAAATAAGTTATGACAAATGACAATACTTTGAAGCCAACAAATGTTGAGTTTCTTGCACAGACTGATAGATTTAATCCGGGGTCGCCATAGCGGAATGAACCGCCAACTTATCCAGCAAGTGTTTACGCAGCGGATGCCCTTCCAGCCGCAACCCATCTCTGGGAAACATCCACACACACATTCACACACTACGGACTATTTAGTTTACCCAATTCACCTGTACCGCATGTCTTTGGACTGTGGGGGAAACCAGAGCACCCGGAGGAAACCCACGCGAAGGCAGGGAGAACATGCAAACTCCACACAGAAACACAAACTGAGCCGAGGTTCGAACCAGCGACCTTCTTGCTGTGAGGCGACAGCACTACCTACTGCGC